GGGTCGGACTCGATGATCTATTGAGGTCCCTTCCGACCCTAACATCTATGAATCTATGGTGTCCCTCACTCCTCACCCACAGCCCCCTGCCCTCCCCAGCCCTGGCAAATGGGGGGCCCCCAGCTGCCAGAGCTGTGGAGCCAGGGGCTTGGGTCTGCAGTCCCCTTTCCCCTGCAGCAGCACCCGAGCCCTGGCTGCTGCAGTGGAGCGGAGCATGGAGCCCAAATCCCCCTCCCCCATGGATGGCATAGCTGTAGCGGAGCCCCTGGTGGCGGGGGGAGGAGGGGGGTGCAGGCTGCCTACTCTGGGTTTGGGCTCCCCATCCTGCTGCCCTCCCCCTGTGGCTGCTGTGGCCCAGTGGTCAGGTTCTGGCATAGCAGGGAGTGAGGAGAAGCTCCTTGCTGCTGTGAGCCCCATGCCGCTCTGGTGAGGTACCTTGTGTCTACACAGCAGCAGCAAGAGGTATAACCCTGCACTGCTGCCCCTGCTGCTGCTGGGTGGGCAGGGGGTGCTTCGCCAGGGTGGCATAGGGCTTGCAGTGGCAAGAAGCTTCCCTTCCTGGCCCTGCTTTGCTCTGCCCGCTGGGCTATAGAGGCCCCAGGGGGAAGGCAGTAGGGTGGAAAACCTGAGTCTGCAGCAGGTAGCCCACCCAGCACACAGATCTGGAGGTCATGTTCCCTTCCTCCCCCCACAGGAGTGCACACAGTGGTGGAGAGCCAGCCCCTGCTGCCCCCCAGATTAGCCACCAATGGCCCTGCCCCACTCCATGCCCAGACCCTGTGGGCAGATGTAGCCCTAGGTCCTAAGCCCCATGCACTGCCCAGCTGGGCAGCAGCCTCAGCCCCAGCCCTGCCCAACTCATTCCCTTCCTATGGGAGGGCCTCAATCCCTCGTCCCTGTCCCTCTTCCCTGTCCCTCCCTGCAAAAGCTGCTCTCCAGGCTGCCTGGCAGCCATGTGCGTGTGTACATGCACACATGATGGTGCCCCCTGCCTGCCTGCTCTCCTCCTGCTCTCCCAGCCCCTTGCAGACTGGAACTTTGCCAGCCTGCAGAAAGCTCTTTGCAAAACTGGAAAATCCACATGTTTCTCTGTTAAAATGATAAATCCATGTTTTTCATAGTTAAAAGGGAAAATCTGCATTTTTCCCCCCATGGGAAATGGAAAACCTGGATCCCAGGTGATTGTATAAGTAAAGACTATCAAATGCATTGCACAAGGCAGTCAAATTATGATTGCACAGGCAGCCTTAATTCTGGCATTTACCAACTTTTGAATGCTTAACTTTACAGTCTTACAGTACTTTCTAGGTAATTATTACCATATTTACTCACATACCCCCACATACCATTTTTCCAAAGATTAGTCATCTGAAATTAGGAAGCATGTTTTAATTAAGGAAACCAATTTCCACACAGGAACAGAGGCATGGGGACACAGTAATGCCTACCAAGGACAGTGCTGTCTTTCCATCCTGGCTACGTAGAGAAGGGGTGGAGTTCCATTCCCTGTCGCTCATTCTCTCTTTGCAAACTCCGAAGAGTAAATTCTGTCCCTGTTCCAAGCTGTAGTGGGCCAGTTGGGGGCACTCCTGTGCTGAGCCACGTGCCTCACTGTGCCCAACCAGAAACCAAGTCTTGAGTGCATCCCCTGGGGCACCTATGTCAGGCCAACCCCCTTCCTGGAGCACACCAACAAGCCTGGGGTAACCGCTGCCACCACCTGGGTCTGGTCTTTGTTTGGGCCCTGTCCCCCCTGGGGTACACAGGCCTTGTAGACCTTGAGGGTGCTTGACCCACTGTGAAATCTTGGGTGGGTTTAGTGTGCTTGACCTACTCTAAACCTACTTCCTTTAACCCGGGGGAGGGCAGTTATTTCAGGCGGAGGGCTGCTTACTGACTGTTGGCAAGCCATTGAGGGCTGTATGACAGGCAGCCAGGGGCAGATAAATATTAATTTTCTAAAATTTTTAGGGGCCCCATGGGCTGGATAGAATGGCTTGGTGGGCCGCATTTTGCCCACCCCTGCTTTAACCTGAAGCACAGAAAGTAGCTTCCCTTAGTCAGCTGAGCAAAGGGAGCATAAAGTCATGCCCAATCCCTCTCAAGCATGTACCACAAAGCTTGCTATAGTGGATAGCTTTATTTGGGTAGAAAGGGTAGGCTTGGGGAGGGATAAAAGTCAGAGAATTATCGAAAGCATAACCCTGAGCAAACAGAACTGGCCTGATAGCCATTTAGTATGCTTCTAAACTACTGTAAGCTACCTTTCTAGTTAAGTTTCTGGTAGTTTACTCACTTCAGCATCTCGGAAGGGACAGAATTGCAGAGGTTCAAGTTGCTGTGTAAAAGACCCAACATGTCTCCCCCTCTTCCTGGAGAACCTGTCTCTTAAATAGTCCTCCTGACCTCATTTCTAGACCCAATCAGGGGAGGTGTTGTTTGATGCTGACCAGCCAGTTTGAATAGCATCACACCTTGACCTGGACTCAAGCCCCTGCCCCTATGTCATGAAGTCAGAGCTCAAAATAATAGAAGCTAGGTATACCCTTTTACCTGATCCAGGTCATGTATGCTGTAATCCGGGGCAACCAGATTGACAGACAGGTGAGGAGACCAAGACAAAGAAAAGGAAATAAAACAAACAAACAAAAAGCAGGAATCTGGAAGATGATTCTTCCACACATGCTGCCTGCATTCAGTCATAACTGGAAATATCTTTTTCTTAATCCAGCTTTCCCAATACAAGGTGCATGTCTTATTTGGGGTGAGTGGCATGTGAGAAAATATGCTGTGTACTTGCCTGTCTATACATATTTATACACTGCACGCACAAACACCGTTCATAGTGTGTAAGTGTACTAAAACATTATTTACAGCCTTTTTACAGGGTGGTATTGGAACTCTGGTCAGGTCAGTTAGTATTTGAAATTAGTTCGTTGATATTGGCTGTAGCAGATACAGAGTTCAGCCTTTCTCATTAAGGCAAATTAGGGACCGAGTGGGCATGATGAACTAAAATATTTAAACTGTCCTCGTGTATGACAGTGCTGCTGACTTAAAATGGTCAGTCAGAAATTTTGGTGGTAAGACAGAATAAATGCCAGTAGTTTGAAAGTGATGTATATATTTTTAGTACTTTCAAAATTCTTTTGAGTTCATAACCATTATATACAGATTTTTACATAAGAAGCAAAGTTCTGCTTGCCCCAGCCAGCATAGGAGAACAACAAAGGAATGTCTTTGACAGTTGGTTATTATTATTGGGCATGAGAGCAATTCTGTTTTTAGCTCTCCTCAGGTGTATCATTAAACACTGCAGATGTATTGTTCCTTAGCAGCACTTTTTTCCAGTAGCCTTTTACGTCTTCACTAAGATTCAGTGTGAAGATCTCTGATGATATTTGAATTGTCCATCCAAGAAAATTATTGGACGTGCAGCCTAGCCTGTCATTCTAACCAACAGTATTCCTTCTTTTGATGATGCCCCAACATGAAGAAATGGCATTTACACATTTAGTCCATACCCCAGGATATTCATCAACATGGTGGTGGTTTGTACAACCTCACGAAGAAGGAATTTAATCTCTCCCTGTATTATCGCATATACCTATAGTTCCACACAGAAATAATGCAGATTTTCACAGATTATGGTTGCATTTCATAATGTTCAAAAACAGTCGTTTTTAGTAATAAGTTTTTGAAACAAGTTTAGGAATTTGTGTGTCAACAAAAAAAATAAAAAGATTGAGAGAAAGAAATAGATGTAAGTTAGTCATCTCACTGGCCATTTGTTATATATGTGGAGTTGTTATATTTGTAGAGTTGTAGAGTATATATGTTTTTATGTGTAGTGTCTGGCATGTTTTGTACAGGTCTCTCTTGCTGGAAGTTTGGCCCCACGGATTAGACATGGTTTAGCTGCAGTGGCTTGCAGTACTGACAGATTTCAATCTTTATGTTTAAGGTCCAGTTACTCAAAAATAATGTAGAACAGGCAACAAAGACATTTCAAGACTCTTGTTAAGAACAACATTCCAATCGAGTTATGCTGTCAAATGTTAACGTCAAACTGTGAATGAAGGTATAGAGAAATTTCCAGATTCGTTCAGTGTCTATAAAGGTACAATGTTCTGGGCCATTTAATTGGATCACATAAATTGATGCTATTACATTGACTTAAGGGGAGCTAAACAGCTTACGTCAACTTGAAGATCTGGCCCTATATGCTTCTCTGGATCATAGAATAGAATTTCTTTAAGAAATCCTCAGACTGTGATTAATCCTTCTGGGATTTATTTTCTACAGTGTCTCACCTTGAGATAATACACATCTTTTAAGAACTATTCCTAGATAATTTAGAGAATATTCAGAGAGTTGTTCGTAGATTAATAGATTTTTAAGGCCAAAAGGGACCATTACTGTTGCCTCGTCCAACTTTCTTTATGATACAGGCCATAGAATTTCACCTCACCTAAATAAGATCCTCCTTCCCTCAGTTCTGATTGTCAATTTATCACTATTGATATGAAAGTATTTTTCTATTAAAATTGTATATTTTAAAATAATGATTCAGTTCCTAAAATTTCTGTTTTCAAAGGAGTTTAGAAAACCTGATAATCTGGAGTAGTGAGGAAAGAACTTTACATTTACTATTATTCTATAATTCCTTCCATATTACTTGAAAAATCACTGTTCTGAAAATGTAAAATGTTAATCATTTCATGGGCCATACAAGGGATTAACTTATTTTACCTGTTAGTGTTCCAGAGGTTTTTACTTGAACATGTAAGTGTCCCATTGTTTCTGTTGCTTAAGACAGAACTGTTATGGGTGTTAAAAACAGCACCTTAGGGAAGACTTCATTAGACTTCTGGTTCTCTACCTCTCTGCTGGTTGGTGAAAGTATATTGTCAGGCAAGGCAAATAAAGTGTGATCTGGTCACATTTGTTATATTCTGTGAAGCAGTATATTATATGAAGACTTTTAAATGTGTTTTTAGGGCACTGGCCCTTAATTGTGATGCCCCGTTGGATGACAAAAATGGAGCAGAGTCTAAAAATTGGAGAGCTGGGAAGCCTGTTAGAGTGGTGCGCAGTTCAAAAGGACGAAGGATCAGCAAGTATGCCCCAGAGGAGGGCAACAGATATGATGGCATTTACAAGGTACACAGACTTTTGCTGCCTAATTTATTGCATTTTTAGAAATTTTTTTTTGATTCTATCAAACGTTTCATAGCAATACTTATGAAACAAGCAAGTATACGCAATATTTATTATTAAACTGGCAGAAATAATCCTGTTTCGGTAAAGGCTTTTTAACTTGGCTTATTCACTGGTGAAGATCATTTGAAATTAAAAGTATTCAAGCAATGGTGCTAGAACACAGTACGTAACAGGAGAGAGAAGATATTCTCACTGAGTCATATTCACCCCAAGTAATCCATTTTTTTCCCCTACCTTACCTCTTTTCAAACACTTAAGACTTCTTTGCATCTGGAATAAGGATATATACATCTTTGACTACGTGGAGGGAAGAAAGGATTTTAAATTGTAGTGTGTATACCATGATTCAATACTGATTTCTTCTGCTTGATGCATACAAAATATGACTGCTTGCATGTGTTGATGATTAATGGTAAAATATTGAATACCCAGTGCTGACAAAGTTTGCTTGAATTGATTTGGGGACCGAACATGATGCATTTTTACAAACCATGCTAATTTGTTGGAGAAAAAAAATCATAATATAGTCCTGGAACTGTTGTAATTTAGGTGGTGAAATACTGGCCAGAAATCGGAAAATGTGGATTCTTAGTTTGGCGCTATCTTCTGAGAAGAGATGATCTGGAACCTGCACCTTGGACCTCAGAAGGAATAGAACGGTCAAAGAAACTGGGTCTGAGTGTACAGGTTAGATTTTAAATTCATGGTCTTGTTTTAATGCCAAACTAAAATAAATTGAGTCTAACTTGAATATTTATAAACTAAGAAGTCAGTTAACATCCAGACTGACCTTCAGCAGCTAAGGATTGCAGAATCCCTGAGAGAGAACTCAGTTCACATGAGTAATTTTGCATCTCCCAATCAATCCTGAAGCTGGGAAGTGTTTGAATCTCTATTGCCTTTCTCAGTGGATCTTTCTTTCCTTGGATGAGTTGTTTTCCACAGTGGCGGGATTCTTAATCTTGTCCCTGTGATTGTAGAGGTTGGAAAGCGATAGCTATGGGGTCCTTTACATCAAAATGACTCTGATTCAGGCCTTTATGCTTTAATTCCAGTTGCCTGAAAGTAGTTTATAACTTACCCATTTATGAGATTCCTTTGAAACAATTTCATTGTGTAGCTTTTGTTGTTTATTTTCATTTAGAAATAAGAGTCTGCCACTTCATCATATTCCAGTGGAGTATGTTTTAATTTAAAAATACTTTTCCATGTTTAGTATCCAGAAGGTTATCTGGAAGCCATGGCAAGTAAAGAGAAGAAAGATAAGGTTAAGAAACAAACTGTGAAACAGGAGCCAACTAGACAGAGCAATGGAAACCAGAAGAGGACAATTGATGATGGTATGTCCTTGTACTTCTTGACATTAGCCAGAGTTCTGCCAACTTGTAGAAATTTAAGTAAAAAAGAAGTAAATAAGGAAAGCTGGAAGTCCTTTGAAATGCAGTGTGAAATGTGAAAAGATTTGTTCTTATAGGATTCTGTTTACCGAGGGGAAAAAGAAAACAACAAAAGATACTATGTCATTTTTTTCCTTAATTTTCTTTTAATTCCAGCAGTTTCTGTATTAAATGTTTACATGCAGCCTCCTGATGCAGTCCAGAACAAAGCTGAACAATAAGAGAATTTATTATAGTTTACTATACAAATACGATTCTAGTTTGAGATTCATTTGTGTTTCTTTAGCAGTTCAGCCAAATGTTCTGATATTCCTATGTTTGGTGGTAATATTTTAAGCAGGGATAGAAGAGTCTACAAATGCATCCAAAGCCATGAGAATGGGGGACGGAGGAAAAGGAGAAGCTTTTCAGATAACCCAGCAACAACAGTGGCTGATTAGAGAAGACTGTATGAACCAGAAATTGTGGGATGAAGTGCTTGCTTCTCTTAAAGAAGGACCAGTAAGTTTGTAGCTTGCTTATATTTTATATTTTTGATATTCCTCTAAGGAGGTTGGAGAAAAAATACGAGGTTTCAGGAAAACCTAATCTTGTTGAACACAACACTACTACTCTAGTCATTGTTAGTTATTGTAATCTTTCTTGATTTCAAATAAATGAACAGACTTGTTCTGATGCCTTAGGTCACATCAGTGAGGATTTTAGCCTATGCAGTTTGGGAGACATTTTACGTAACTCTTTTGGTAGACCCCCGACTCCATGCAGTGCCCAACAACTAGGGAGATGATGATCCAATTGCTTAGGGATCCCATTGCTCAGGGAGCAAACACCAGCACACACTGCTAGCGAACAGCTTTATTCAGAATGGAGACAGCTTCGGGCGAGCTCCCAAAGAAACCAGGGAGCAGCAATGAACATTAGTTTTTTTCCATATTTATACACCTTGGTTTATAGTCATTAACATTTACTCCACCTTTGTCCCTCCTTTGTTCCACCCATATTCCCTCCTATCTGAAGCTCTGCCTTTGTTTACTGTTTACTTCATTAGCATGGAATTGCCTATGCATTTCATTCATTTACATGTCTTTTTGCTATGAGCGCATTCGTAAGACGGTGAATCCGGCTTCTTTCAGTCAATTGCTGTTTCTTGCTGACTCCTTCGTCTCCAAGGTCTTGCTTCTGCTTTATCTCCTGACGATAGCTGGTGGGCTGCATCCTGTTCTCCCTGCACAATACATTATATATCCTACACGCTACCACATTGTTAGGAAACTACTTGCCTAAGCATCTCGCAATGTTAATTTAATATCTAATTCTGCCTTGTGGTTAGTAGCTTTGCTGAAGCCACAGATTAAAGCCTTTATTCAGCTGCAAATCCAGTGCTCCCCAAGATCCAAATATTGTCACCCTAACACCTTTCTCATATTTAACATATCTGTGGTAACATAAATGTTCCCAATGAAGGAGATGGAGATAGAAATGGCATTACTTTTTTACAGTAAAATTTTTTATGTCCTTTGGTGGAATATCAATATGAGAAGTAAGACACAAAACAGTCCTATTCACTGCTCTTGTTTCTTCTTTAAGTAATTGCTGGAAAAGGTATTTTGTTAACTCAGAAAAAGATACTCCTGGGGGAGGCCTAGCTTGGGGTGTCACATTCAAAAACTTGGGTACCAAATAAAACTTTGCGCGCACACCCCCACAGTTCTGAGACCGAAATGTAGAAAGCCATCTTTATTTTCATAAAGTCCTGTGGCTTTTACCCGTAAAAAAAAAAAAAAAAATCCTATTCACGATTAGCAGCAGCAAGATAACTCCCTAAGATAAGTAGGCATGTACGTTAAGTACACACAGTATGGTTCAGACAGTTTTGGAGATGTACCAAGCACATATTGGATTGAAGGAGACCAGAGACTAATAAATATTCAATAAAGACAGTATCCCTTCAACAGGGTAAGTACAAAAATAACACCCCCTTCTTTGCTGTACCTGAACGTAGGTTAATCGGCATGACATTGCAGGTGCTGGTTACTTTTACCATTTTAAGATGCACAACGGAGAAGTTAAAGAGACTTGGCAAAGGTCAATAGGGACCGCAAACAGGTCAGTCTGCAAGTCTGTGCCGCCTGTGCGCACAGGCCTGTGGGCCAGATCCAGCCCGTGGAGGATCTTTCTCCAGCCCATGGTGGGTCCGTTGGTCCCGCCTGAGCTCGGTGCTGTCTGGTTCATGGTGCATCCTGCCACCACCTGGGCATGCAGCAGGGCTGGGGCAGCTCCGCAGCTGAATTGCCTTTCTAGGCAGCGCAGGTGGCAGCAGCTCCTTCCAACTGCTGCTGCTGCTGGCCTCAGACCTATGGTACCAGTAGGAAACCGTGCACCCAGCCCTGACCCCAGCTTGCCCCACACCTGCTCCAAACTCATCCTGGCAGAGCAGACCAGCTCTGGACCAGCTGGAACCCACATGCACAGCCCCAACCCTGGCCTGCCCCATGCCTGCTCTGGACTCGCCCCTCCATGGTGAGCAGCGGTGGCGGCAGCCAAGCAAAAGGGTAGTATCCCTTAGGGAGCAGGCGAAAGAGGTACAGGAGGTGGCAAGGCTCCAAACCATCCTCAGCCATGAGGAGTTCATCGATTCAGTGCTGGAAGAGACCTCTAGGACTGCAGAGGAAGCACTACCAGAGGTGGTGCTGGAACAGGAAGAGGACATGGACTCCCAGGAAACTGGAAGCTTGTGACCTCTGGCATCAAGCAGAAGAATTTTAATTCTCACATGCAGCAGTTTGCATGCTGAATAGATATGGAGACCTAGCAACAGAGGAGAAGTAGCACGTTCCATCAGCAGAAGAGACCAGGCCAGGCCAGGCCTCCCCAAGGTTGGGAGGATCAAGACCACTGCCACCAAGAGGAAGCAACAAGTGGTGGTAGTTGGCAAATCCCTTCTGCAGGGGATGGAGGCATCCATCTGCCAGCCTGACCTGTCGTTTCCAGAGGAATGCTGTTTGCCCAGATCCAAGATGTTACAGAGGGATCACCAAGACTCATCTGGCCCTCTGACTACTAGCCCGTGTTGCTTGTCCATGTGGGCACCAGTGATACTGCCCAGAGGGGACTCTGAGCAGATCGAAAGTGACTACAGGGCTCTGGGTACAAGGGTGAAGGGGACAGGGTCTCAGGTGGTGTTCTCCTCAAACCTTTTGATCAGGTGGGAAGGGTTTGGGCAGGAGCGGACACATCTTGTAGATCAATGTGTGGCTGTGCAGATGGTGGCACAAGAAGGGCTTTGGATTCTTCAACCATGTGATGTTGTTCCAAGAAGGATTGCTAGGAAGGGATGGGATGCACCTGCCGAAGAGAGGAAAGAGAATCTTTGCAAATGGGTTCGCTGACCTAGTGGGGAGGGCTTTAATCTAGGATCACTGGGAGATGGAGACCAAGGCCCTGAGGTAAGTGTGGAAGTGGGTGACCTGGAGGAAGTGCAAGCAGGAGGAAGTGACAGAGGTGGCCTTCTCATTCTTGAGAAAGTAAGATAATGGGCTAATTACCTTGTATCTGTATGCAAATGCACAGAGCCTGGGAAACAAGCAGGAAGTATTAGAAGGCTTTGCACAGTTACAGAACTGTGACGTGATTGAAATAACAGAGACTTGGTGGGATAACTCACATGACTGGAGCACTGTCATGGATGGATACAAACTGTTCAGGAAGGACAGGCTGGGGAAAAGAGGAGGAGGAGTTGAACTGTATGTAAAAGAGTTGTATGATTGTTCAGACCTCCAGGCTGAAACTGGAGCCCTAGTTCTCATGGGGGACTTAAATCACCCTGACATCTTCTGGGAGAGCAATACAGCAGTGCAGGGGCAATCTAAGAAGTTTTTGGAGCATGTTAGAGACAACTTCCTAGTGCAGTGTTGGAGAGGCCAACTAGGGGCCATGCTCTTCATCTGCTGCTAAGGAACAATTGGTGGGGAATGTAGAAGTGGATGGCAACTTGGGCAGATGCAGCCATGAGATGACTGGCTGTATGTTAAAGAAACCTTACTTAGGGTGTGAGAACAAACCATCCTGATATTCAGGAAGACTAGCAAGTATGACAGAAGACCACCTTGGCTTAACTCTTCAGTGAGCTAAATCACAAAAAAAAAAAACAAAGCCTATAAGAAGTGCAAACTTGGACAAACTACTAGAGGGGGAGCTTAAAACTACTTCTCGGGCATGCAGGGGATGATATCAGGAAAGCCAAAGCATGGTTGGAGTTGCAGCTAGCAAGGGATGTGAAGGGTAACAAAGTAACTTGTAGAAATAAGGGTTTCTACAAGTATGTAAACAACAAAAGGAAGATCAGGTAAAGTGTGGGTCCCTTAATGAGAGAGGCAACCTAGTGACAGATGATGCAGAAAAGGCTGAAATAATGCTTTTTTTTTTTTTACCTCGGTCTTTGCAAGCAAGTTCAGCTACCAGACTACTGCATCTGGCAGCAGTTTGGGGACGAGGTGAGCAGCTGGTACTAGTGAAAGAACAGGCTAAGGACTATTTAGAAAAACTGTACAGGTACAACTCCATGGGGCCAGACAATGCACTTGAGTGCTGAGGGAGTTGGCCGATGTGATTGCAGAACTGTTGGTCATTATGTTTGAAAACTCGTGACAATAAGGAGAGGTCCTGGGCATTTGGAAAAGGGCAAATATAGTACCCATCTTTAAGAAAAGGAAGAAGAATCTGCGGAACTACAGACTGGTCAGCCTCACAGTCCTTGGAAAATCATGGAACAGGTCTCCAAGGAATCCATTTTGAAGCACTTGGAGAAGAAGGTGATTAGGAACTAAGTCACAAAAAGGAAGCTTATAAGAAGTGGAAACTTGGACAAATAACTAGTAAGGAGTAGAAGAGCATTGCTTGGGCATGCAGGGATGCAGTCAGGAAGGCCAAAATGCAACTGGGGTTGTAGCTAGCAAGGGAGGTGAAGGGTAATAAGAAAGGTTTCTACAAGTATGTCAGTAGCAAGAGGAGGATCAGGGAAAATGTGGGTTGCTTACTGAATGGGGGAGGCAACCTTGTGACAGAAGATTCAGAAAAGGCTGAAATGCTCAATACCTTCTTCGCCTCAGTCTTTACAGGCAAGGTCAGCTCCCAGACTACTGCGATATGCAGCACAGTTGGAGGAGGAGTTGAGCAGCTAACGGTGGCAGAAGAACAGATTAAAGACTATTTAGAAAACCTGAACATATACAAGTCCATGGGGCCAGATGGGATGCACCCAAGGAGTTGGCTAATGAAACTGTAGATCCGCTGGCCACAGTCTTTGAAAACTCAAGGCTATTAAGAGAGGTCCCAAATGCTTGGAAAAGGAAAAACATAGTGTCCATATTTAAGAAAGGGAAGAAGGAGGATCCTACAAACCAGTCAACCTCACCTCAATCCCTGGAAAAATCATGGAGCACATCCTCAAGGAATCCATTTCTAATACTTGGAGGAGAAGAAGGTGGTTAGGAACCATCAGCATGGATTCACCAATGGACATGACTGGCTCTGTGGATGTGGGAAGAGAGAGCAGTGGATGTGATCTATCTTGACTTCAGCAAAGCTTTAGATATGGTCTCCCACAACATCCTTGCAGGCAAGCTAAGGAAGCCTGGGTTGGAGGAATGGACTGTAAGGTGGATAGAAAACTGGCTGGATTGTTGGGTTCAAAGTGTAGTAATCAATGGCTCACTGTCTAGTTGGCAGCCAGTATCAAGTGGAGTGCCCCAGCGGTCTGTCCTGGGGCTTTTGTTCAATATCTTCATCGGTGATCTGAAAGATGGGATGGAGTGCACCCGTATAAAGTTTGTGGGTGACACCAGGCAGGGTGGAGTAGCAGATGCACTGAAGGGGTAGGGCTAGGATTCAGAGAGACTGAGACAAATCGAAGGATTGGACCAAAAGAAATCTCATGAGGTTCAACAAAGACAAGTGTAGAGTCCTGCACTTAAGATGGAACAATCCCATGTACCAGTAGAGGCAGGGGGCTGACTGGCTGGGCAGCAGCTCTGCAGAAAAGGACCTGGGGGTTACAGTGGATGATAAGCTGACTATGAGCTAGGAGTGTGCCCTTGTCATCAAAAAGGCTAACAGCATACTGGATTGCATTAGTAGGAGCATTGCCAGCAGGTCAAGGGAAGCGATTATTCCCCTCTATTTAGCACTGGGAGGCCACATCTGGAGTACTGTGTCTAGTTTTGGGCCCCCACTACAGAAAGGATGTGGACAAATTGGAAAGAATCCAGTGGAGGGCAACGGAAATGGTTCAGGGGCTGGGGCACATAACTTCTGAGGAGAGACTGAGGGAACTGGGGTTATTTAGTCTGAAGCAGAGAAGACTGAGTGGGGATTTAATAACAGCCTTCAACTACCTGAAGATTGGTTATAAAGAGGATGGAGCTAGACTGTTTTCAGTGGTGGTAAATGACAGAACAAGGAGCAATGGTCTCAAATTGCAGCAAAGCAAGTTTAGGTCAGATATGGGGGGAAAAATTCCTATTAGGAGGGTAGTAAAGCACTGGAACAAGCAACCCAGAGAGGTTGTGGAGTCCTCATTCTTGGAGGTTTTTAAGACCTAGGTAGACAAAACCTTGGCTGGGATGTTATGGAATCATAGACAATTAGGATTGGAAGGGACCTCAGGTTGTCATCTAGTCCAACCCCCTGCTCAAAGTAGGAATGTAGAAGTGGATGGCAACTTGGGCAGCAGTGACTATGAAATGATTGGGTTCAGGATCCTGAGGGAAGGAAAGAGAGCAGCGGGGTAAGGACTCTGGACTTCAGAAAAGATGATTTTGACTCGCTCAAGGAACTCATGTGATCACCTGGGAAGCCAGTCTGAGGGGGAAAGGAGTCCAGAAGAGCTGGCTGTAATTTAAAGAAACCTTACTTGGAATGCAAGAACAAAGCATCCCAACATGCTGGAAGACTAGTAAGTACGGCAGCAAGTATAGTTGGAGATGGTCCTGTTTTGAGCAGGGGGTTGGACTAGTTGACCTCCTAAGGTCCCTTCCAACTGTAATTTTCTGTGATTGTAAAAGTCAAGTCAATGGAAGAACAAAAAAATGCTATGTAGAAAAATAAGATGCAGGAAAAAAATTGCAGAAGCGCATATCTTTACCCGATCTTAATTGGACTTCTAAGATCTCATGTGTTGTTGTAAGATCCTGCTATGTTCTTCTACTTATCAAGTTGTTGCCAAAGTGGTTATTATAAAGGAGTGAGCATTGAAAAGCGATGAGCCATTTTCCTGTGCTACCTTCAGCACATACGTATTCACTTTGTAATTGGTATTGTTTCATTTCTCAATGTATGTGTGATATGAGGCAAGAGTGACATGCAGGTGTGACACAACAGGAAAGCCTGCCTTGAGGGAAACCCAGTTAGTGAAAGAGTCCTGTCTGTTATTTTGACACTTGTGTGACTAAACTTCCATAGAGCTACCACGGTGGTTGATGAGAACCAGACAGCTGGATCTCTGCACTAAGAGGGTACATCTTGGTACCTTATATACCGATACCCGCTTGTTTACATATTACCATGATTTGAATGTATGAATACCATTTGATTTGTATATTGTATAATCCAGTTTTTACACTTTTACTTTGAAGTTAAGTGTTCTTGGGCAACTGAAATATCAGAACTAGAATCTGTGTAAGTTCTGCTGTTACTTCTACAATAGGCAGTATGTATTTACTCTTACAATCCCTAGGTTTGTTTTGGGAAGACCAAAAATAGGGCAGAAGTTCACACAAAATTTGAGTAAACTTTTTTCTCTGTTTTAGAATAGAAGAAGCCCCTAACAACTACGAAAGCAGTGTAACTAGCCACATGCTCCGTGTGGACACAGCCACAGGCATAGCAGGGGTTTTTTGGTAGAACGGGTCATTAAGTTCCTGGCTATCTCCTCTGCAAAGGCACAGAGAATTACTCTGCTCAAATTCTGAGCATCCCTGACAAATGCAGGTTCAGGACAGTGACCTCCCCAGCCAGACAGACAGTAACTTCCCTTGTTCTCTGACCTCTGCTGAGAACAGGACATTCTGCTGTAACAAACAGTCACGTGAAACTATTAATCATTTCCAAACCTTTGTTGTTTGAAATCCCACCAGTCGGAGGAGCAGGGAAGTTATGTGGCCATGTTTCGGGAAGATTGGGCCAGACATAATATCTAACATAATAAATTGCATACCCAATTAGTATGATTAACAGTTAACAGAAGAGGAAGACATATGGTTCCTCTCGAAGTAACTTCAATCTAAGAAAAAGTACACAATTTAACCACATGAAGTATGACATGAGCAGACATCTATAATAGTCATACATGATATGCCTATGCTTCAGTATAAACAAACATTTCTGTCCATGGGGTAATGACCTTGAGCAATGATGGTGGTCAGTTTCTTGCAAGAAAAGTAACTTGCAGGGAATCAGTCTCCTGTGGTACAGATGGAAAATTGAATCATCTGTTTAACTATGCTCAACATCAAAGTGAAGTGGTTGTGATTTCCCAGCTCATTAACACTTGCGTTATATTATTAATCAGCACCAACATGGGAACCTTGCTTAGGAGTTTAAGAGAATGCCTTCTGTGTAAAATACAGGTTAGCACAGCAGCTAGCTCATGGGAATGAGCTTTGACCAACTGATGCTAGGACAGAACTTGATTTTGGGTGCTCTTGATTTATGTAACAGAACCAATTTGACCCACTGGACTTAAATGTACATGATTTAAATACATGTAATTACGTATAATAGCTGGGCAAATGAAAATGCCTCGTTACAAACTATTAACTATAACGGCTTTAGACGATGACAAAGAAGTGTTGTTCGCTTTTGATTTTCTTTGGCATTTGTGTGCACGCTTGTACTAGAATCTCTTCATCTCATTTTTTTTTTTTTCCTCCCCTTTTCCTTACACTAGAATTTTCTGAAGAAACTGGAACAATCCTTTATGTGTGTCTGCTGCCAGGAGCTGGTTTACCAGCCAGTGACAACAGAGTGCCTCCACAACGTCTGTAAAGTAAGAACAATCTCTGTCCTGCTTTGGACTGCACTTCTGGCACTGAGGAACCCGTCAATAGAGCTAGTCTGTTCTAGTGAGGCATTTAGTATACTAAGTATTTGAAGCAAGGAATGCAACAAATTTGCTCCCGGTTTGGTGTAATTGCTGCTCAGATTAACTTGGTTTTCTATAATAATAGTGGAAATGCATAATTTTTTCCAGGCATAGAGGAAAGTTTGACTTGCCGTCACTCCACTGTAGTTAGTGGAGTTGCACTAGGGAATGGTTGTGTGTGTGTGTAGCTAGAGGTTGATACGGTAATGCTTCACAAGGAATGAACATAGCTTTCCACACACACAAACAACTTATTAGCCCTGTTTTTTGGCATCTCTTGGAAAGTTACTCAGCAACTAGATCAGATGAAACGGCCCCAGAAGGCTTGTACAAACTGGTTACTTAGTTAGTTGTTTAAGTATCAAGCTGATTTTCTCCTCCATAGACAGCCTGGGGAAATTGTATTAAACAAAGATATTTACATGCATTATTTCACACTCATCAGAACTTGATGAGTTGGGCACCACTGTCAGACAGGGGAAGGGGCTACTTACTGGTTAAAATGGTGGCAGCGGCAGCAGCAGAGTTGTAAAGCACTGGAGAATTGGTACAATAAGGTCAGCTGCAAGCTCTGTTTGCACATTCAGAGTTGCACCTTGAATTGAAAGGCTTGAAATGCATTAGAAGTCCAGAAGGAAGCTGTAGACTGAGCTATGACCCACAGAGATGCATGGGGGAGATGAAATGCCTCTGGGGTGACACTATAGTTATTCATGCCAAACTTGCTGTTTGTACTGTAGCCAAGAACCAAGTCCTTTGTTAAGTTGTCTTGGTCATCTTGCTGTGTAAAGGTAGAAATATGTATAGGAAACCTCAGAGTAGCTTGTTTCTGGAAATGCTGGCTGCTGTCTTTGTGTCTAGTACTTGCTTAATCTCGACTTTTCAGCACAAAGCACTGCCTGCAAAGGTTGTAATTCTCCTTTTGTGTGTCCTAGAGCTGTTTACAGCGCTCATTCCGAGCTGAAGTTTTCACCTGCCCAGCCTGCCGCTACGACCTTGGAAAGGGCTATACTATGGTTCCCAACAAGATCCTGCAGACACTACTCGACCAGTTCTTCCCTGGTTACAGCAAAGGACGATGATATGTTCAGCTCCTACCATACTTCTCCCAGTGACTTTATAGACAGTAAAGGAGAATAAACATGGGAAATGCAACAGTGGACCAGCCAGCTTGATGGGACTCAATATAGTGTCACATTTTGAAGCAGCTAACCCTCTTCCCCATAGAGCCATCTTTTTGTGTAGTGAGAACTCCAATTCTCAGCTGTCTTTTAACATCAAAGGTAGTTTTGGCCAGTTAACAATAGTTTCTAAAGTGAAAAAACAGAAGCCTCAGCTTTGACTGGTCAATCCTAACTGATACTTAAGTTATGGTTTGTGCATTGTAACTACCTCAGGACAGAGGAAAATAATTTGTGGGGATTAAAACAGTTCAATGAAGTTTTAGCTACACACTGCCTCCTGAATATTTAGTTGTGCCTGGTCCATGTGGTTTGATTTACAAAAAAAAAAAGCAGCACTTAAACCGGTTTGATTAAAGAACAGCAAATTCTGTGGTGTGCATAATCCTTTTTTGTCTTTTCTTCCATTATGCTGTATTTTTTTTTTGCAAGAACAGGCTGATTTTTAGTCTATTTTTGTGAGCTTCATTGTGCTTTTCCTTGTATCTTATGCAAGTTGACTACTAATGACTAATGAGAACAATATGAATGCATTGTTGCTACATTAGTGTAAAGTGATCTGTGTTTTTTGCACTTAAGGAGGGTATTCAAGACACTCTAGTTGTGTAAAAAAAAAAAAATTCATATGAAACAAGCCACTCTTGTATTAGTTAAAACTGTATGCTTTTAGTAGGTCTTGTATCAGTGGCAATACATCTACACAGCGTTGGAAGGCAGTGCTAGCTTGGAGAGGGTTCAAATCGCTTCATATTGTGATCTGAAATTTTATATACAGTATATTCCCCCAAATATACCTTATTAAATATTTTATGATTCAGAAAAGGTTGCTAATTTTTGTTGCTTTATATTTGAGTATCTTGTAGTCTAAAGTATGTTTAAAAACCAAGTAATTTTTCAAAGTAGTGAAAGTTTCATTCGGGTGGCCTTTTTATTCTAAAGATGTCAAATTTGATATACAATTCCACTGCAGCTTTTGGTAACCAGGATTATAAGTAATAAAGATATTGGCAAATGCTTGTCTTCCTTAGGTGATGCCCTGGGGAGTTTCTCTAAAGTTAAGAGAAAACAGAATTTACTCTTATGCTTAACTCCTACAGAATGGGCTGAGAATGTTATCCAGAATTTGATACGTTGCTACATCTTGGCCCAAGGATTTTTGTTTTTAAAGCCCAAATCTATTTGGAGCCCCTTTTATATATCTATCTAAAGTGGATGCAGCAGAGTGGACATAGATAAAAATGAAACCAGTTAATTTTTCCTTCATTCTTTAATGAAATCACTTAACTCCTTTTTATTACTGCTCTTAGTCCAGATATTTAAATTTGGATTTTTAAAAATACTTTGAGTACTTACTTAACTGTTTTCCTGGCGAGTGCTTCTTGCTTTGTCTGTTAACCTTTTATGTAAAGTCGCATTTTTCTTGTATTCTAAGAGATAATGTATGTTGTATCTTATTTATGCAAATGCATTGGCACCACTGTTCCTAGTCCCTTAGTACCAGAAAGGCTTCTAGTTTTGAACAGCAGCTTTGGAAACATTAAGTTTATCGTTACTTCTTTTGGCTTTTCCCAGCCCTTACCATGAGATGAAATTGGTTTCAACCTTTTCCTTCAGGCAAACAAGACTTGTGAATAGTGAGGATGGCTTTTTCAAAGGAACTGCAGAAAGCTAAATACTCAAATTCCATGCAAGTTATTTCCTTAGTCATTTGGAAAAGGGGGAGCTGCACTGCTTTATGGGCTGAACCCATAACTGATTGTTTGTAATGTATTTTCTCAGGGACCAGCATAGGTCACTTATTGCTCTTCGGTACCACTTGATACATGCAAGATGTACAGTTTCCAATTGATTTGAAAAGTCTTTATTATGTCTTTTGTAGTGTCCTTCCTGTTTGAGGAGTAGCAGCAATTCAGTCACCTTGACATATTCATTCCACCTCCCTCAGTAATGTTCCAATAGCAACTACTTAAAAACCTGCGCAATAGAAAAAATAAGCGATCTTGAATATGTCGCTGACTCTTACCAGCAAGCAGGGAACAGCAGCAGTATTTGATCCCTCAACTATAGAGGAATGACAAAGGTGAACAGTTTACATTGCTCTCACTTTCAAACGCTTGACTAAAGTCAAGTGATGGCTCGTAAACGCATATCGCATTTCAAGGTAAGATTTATGATCTTGTGTGCAATAGTGACGTCAAACAAACCCCCTTATAATCTAGTCTAATAATCTGAAGTGCTTAACAATTCGTGAACAAGAAGCAGTTCCTGAAGTTTAACTCAACTCTACGATCCCCCTCCCCTACCTGCTCTGCAAACTACATGTTCACTAGAATTCCTCTTGTTCAGTGTGGTGACTAGTTTGAAATTATGACTAACAGATGTGATAGGTTTTTCATAAATCAAAGTATTAGGTTTATAAAGCCAGGCAGAAGAAAATTTTCAAGGTTACAGCTCGTATCTTAATGCCAGCAGAAGTTAGTAGGAATAGCTGGTTATAAAATGCTCAACAGGTGCATTTTAAGTTTCCTAAAATCAAAGGGACTAAGGCAAAATCTGGTACTGGAGTAGCCATTCAAATTGGCAGAGATGACCAGAGCAGGGTGTAGGGCCCGAGGCAAATCAGGCCATCTAGGGCCCCACCCCTGCTCCAATCCCACAGGCCCCGGACCTGAAGAAGCTGCTGCCACGACTGGCTGTTAACCAACATTATGTTTTGGTGCTGGTAGCTTTTCTTTTAAAAAAAACAAACAAACCAAAAACAGGATTAATACTAAAATTTCCTAAAGCTACTTACCTTTCCAGGATAGCCTCAACTAAATTCAGGCCTCAATCCATTGGACCTACAGTTACATCTGCTCACACCAGGATCATGAGAGTGATCTACTCAACTTCTCTGCCAATCTATTTATGAAGGGCTGCCTTTGTGCATTGCCCCACTCCCTGCCTTCTCATCTGATCTTTCATAGAGAATGAGATGAAGTATACTTCAGTTTAGGACTACACCAAAATCTTCAGGTTTCAACTTTTCATCATCTACTTTAATGCTACGGCCCTCACCACAGCAAAAGCTAGAGCAGTTAGAGCTGTTCACTTACTATGAACCCAAAGGTGAAAGAGTTCCCACTTCATTCAGGACTTGTCTGAAGGTCACCTGTAGTCAACCCAGCTGTAAATGGGTACAGGTTTTTCAAAGTATGGATACTGCAGGTAGCTAGTGCAGATGCTAGCCGTCTCACCCTTGGTGCATGCTGTTGTACCTTAACGTGAACCCAATGTACTCTTCTGTATGGTATGTAGAGTTAAAAATAAGGACCCACATATTCAAGGCATAGAAATTCAAATAGAACCACTTGCCCTGTACATGAAATCAGCTGCTAAGTGACAGCAAAAGCTAACACTTAATAACATGTGCCTGTGTGAGCTGTGCAGACTTTCCCCATCCACTGTTACCACCTCTGAGTCTAGTCTGGATTTGCAGTAAAGTTAAATCAGAAGCAGATGGGAACCTTTTACATGTAGCTCTGTAGTACACAAATAGATCAGGCAAAAGCAGATGGCGGCATGTCTGGTACACTGGCAGGAAAAAGTCACTCATCTCTCTAAACAGGTGGAGGTTTTAAGAGAAAAAGCACTAAGCAGCTCATCTCACACAGGCTGATGTATTATCTTCTTAGAAAAAACATTTCATTTAGGAACAAGAGGTTTGTATGGAATTACTATAGGCAAAATCTGGCAAGAGCTTGCTATAGTAATAAACAGTATATAGCAGTAGTGGATAGGGAAGTCTGCTCAGCTCATTTGTGTACTATATGAAGTGCTAGCTACTACTGTCAGTAGTATTGGGCAGACAAGTACAGTTCAAGCATCATTGTTCAGTAAGGGCATGTCTACATATGCATTCATGTATTTTGGTTAATATGCATTAAATCTAGTACCTCCACTGTGGGCATTCTTACACATGCAAGCACCAGGCACTTTGAAAAGTGCCCAGTGCTGTGTTGCCTGCAGTTGTATAAATGGCAAAATGTGTGTTAGCGCAGAGAAAATGGCAGCAGTCCATTTTTGAACTAAAACACATAGTTGTTAGTTCAAAAGTGCACTGCCATTTCCTCCATACTGACACACATTTCCCTGCTTATACAACTGCAAGCGACACAGCGCCATAAGCGTCAACTCACATGCAGAGCAGACTCAATTAATCTCTGGCGTATTTGGACACACAAATCTGTCTAGAAATGCCCTGTGCGGTACAGTATAACCTCATAAATCTGGCGTGCTCAGGACCGAGCACTTGCTGGAAATCTGAAAACACCAGACTTGAAACTGGGGAGGAGGGGGGCAGTGGCAGCAGGTCCCAGAGCAGCAGCAGCACAGGGTGGTGAATGGCAGTGGCAGCCACCACATGCAGGCTTCCCCCACCATGTCCTGGGGGGAGGGGGAGGGAGCAGCAACCAGTCCCTAAGTGGCTGCGGGAAGTGCTGGATTTTGGATAATTCTGGATTTATAAGGTTATACTGTACTAGGAAAATGTGCTCTAGCCTGTCTTAATGCACATGAACTAAAGAGCATGGTTTTTAAGTGATGCTTAAACAGCATTATTTAGCTAATGTGCATTAAGTGACGTTTTAATGAACATTAAAGCACACATATACCCCAAATGAGGTGGATCACTACAACTCTGAGAATCATTTTGACTTTTTTTTGATAGAATCTCAAGAATTTGACCATAGGTTTATTTCCTATAAGACCTACCACCTCTTCTGACATCTTATATTTGTTGAAGCCAGTTTCAAACAGGATTCACCTCATATCACTAACAGGTAAATAAAATTGAAAAAAAATTCAGCCCCAAAAACTCTGGTGCAGTTTATTGGAGTACTAACACTGGTAGGTAAAAAACAGTTAAGAAATCAGACAATTAACACCAGCAAGGCCAGCAGTAAGAGAGAAAGTAAAACTAACCAAAGCTCCTTGTTTTGAGTATATAAAATGTAAACAGTTACTGTGGCAGTTAATACTCTTGGCTGTTGCCATATGAAATACCTGGAACAAAAATGTATTTTTTCCATATACAACCTCAAAAATTCTATGTTAATAGTCAAAACTATTAGCACAAAAAGGAGGAAAAAAATCATTACACGAAGACTACAGGTGCAAGAATCAAGGCAACAGACTACTGTGGAAAAAACTGAGGCACTGAATCAACTCAGTTTGTTTCAACCTAATATACTGATTGTATTTACACTTTAACTGAGCAGTAGTTCCATTATGAGCAGGGAAATTACAAAAAATATACATAGTATATAAATCCCTGAAACTGCTCCAGGAAAAAGAAAACCCATCGTGGTGGACTGAAGCAGTCAAGCATGAATCCAGACACCTGGAAGTAATAGAGATCTAGGATGATGCTCTCTTCTGTTCAGAGAATGGAGATTCATAGACTTCCATTGGTGGGCAGGTACAAACTAAGTGCTGATCTCCATAGATGTCATCAATTCGAGCAATTGTAGGCCAGAATTTGCTATCAGGCTTCACAAATGGCTGAATACAGAAAAAACATGCTTTAAAGCAACAACAACAAAAATCAAGCTCAAACTTTACAAAACATCAATTAAAACATTTAAGTTATGGGCTGCCCATTCCTTTGGAATACTTCCAAGAACTATGTAGTAACTTGCACAGTCATTTTGTCTCTAGGCCTCAGAACTTGCTTGCTTGACTGTTACCTCCCATGTAGTCTAATCAACCTTTCAGCATCTTGTCAGAGCCCAAGCAGGAGTTTTTTGAGCAAGGACTTTCTTCACTGCTGACATGCTGATCTCTTAAGGGACTCTTGGATGCTCCTGAAGTTACAGAACTTCCCCAAATGAAATGGAACCGCTGGGAGTCTTAACTTGCTTGCAAGCTCCTGCTTTTCCTAATTCTGAGGTTCAGAGAAGTTAGCAAGCTTTTCCAGGTCTTAAAGACAAAGCATGCACCTTCCCGCCTGCCATGGAGGGATTGTACATATGCAAGAGCTACAAACAAATAGTTTCCAATGCCATAAACAAAGGTTGTACATAGCAAAATAATATTAGGACTTCTAATTATGCTACTTGGGCTCACAAGTAGTGTTCTATCTTCTGAAAATTTTCTGTCCCAAGATTCACTGCCAGTCAACTAGCACATTTACTGTATGTCAAAAATCTCAGCACTCGGAAGCAAAATTCCAGCATTTGTTACTTACAAGTGGGAAGGCTGCTACTTCTCTGGAATATGGGCGATCCCACCTGGAGGACGCAATGCAAGTCAGAGTGTGTGGTGACATCTAAAGAGAGAAGAGGGCCAGTAAAAACATATAAAATGTGTCAGTTCAGGGCAATGTTTCAGCCCATCAACCCTGACAAATCTGAATACAGCTACGCACATTTCCTCAATAGTTCAGATTAGTACCAAGTACTTTGCTCTTGTGAATGCAGGATTGTCAATCAAAATGGAGACGTATTAAAAGCAGACAGGAGACTAAATTGATTCAGAATGTATTTATCTCTTGGATATCATTTATCCAAGTCAAAACTAAGTGGGGAAAAAAGTGGAAGGATGATGGAACAGGAAGGATGGTTACAACTGTAGCCACTGCTTGTTCTTTCTCCCCAACACAGCAAGCACTAGAGCAGTAAGAGGCAGCAGGTGCTCCCTGCATGTCACTTGTGTTGGGTGATGGAGTTTCTTCCTACTCCAGTTTAAAATTCAACTTCTCTTGGTTTGATACCCAACTACTAAAAAACACTTTGAATTGCCCTAAAAGGCAATGGAAAGTCATCTTGAAACAGTCTAAGGAGGAGTTCTAGCCAAGGTCAGCTGGCTGTAGCTCCCCCTTCCACTGTTTGATGTCTTTCCCCACTTAAATGCATGACACATATGACAATGTACAAGACCCAGAATGCAAAGAGATCATCACATCTACAGGCCCAAAACCTATTCTAAAATGATTTAGGTGCTAGTTATACAATTACAATGTCAACACAGAAAAGGCACTCTATACCACTTACGCAGCTTTAGAAGTTATTTCCACCCATCACTAGACTTGTCCCTTGTTCTAGTTCTAGGACTACAGTGGCTCATGCACTGTGGTGACCCTGTTCTACCTAGGAAGTTGTGCGCTCCAGGCAGGTCCTTAAACTGGTTAAAGAAAAAACAGGAAGAGCAGCTGTCTGCCAGAGGAGGAAGAGGAAGGTGACAGCCCTCCTACCTCAACCCTGTAGCCTAATGGTTAGGACATTTACCCAAAGGACGGACATCTCTGCAAAGACCCACATCTCCCACTTCCCAGCAAAGTAGCCCAACCACCAGACCAGAAACACCCAGCACCATCCTGCAGAGCTGCCTCGCTTGTGGTCAAGAGGAAGCAGATATGGGACCAGGAAGAGAAGTCTGTGGCTCAGGGAGACAGGCTTAGGAAGGGATCTTTGGTTCTTGTCCCTTGCTCCTGGTGCCCATTTACTTTATTCAATGATTATTAAAATGCAAAATGAAGAAACTCCATCAAAGCAGGGCAGGAACCCCATGTCAGGGCCCATCTCCTTGAACCAGAGAGAGATTTCCTCTGGCCTGCTCGCCTCCAAGCTCAACATCTCTCTTCTGCTGTTGGCTATCCTGTGACCCATCTATATCAGGACCATCAGGAGGCTCCATCTTGCCTAGAGCCTAGTGGTCAGAGCACTTTGTTGGGAGATTGGTTAAAGAAAAAACAGGCAGAGCCATTCCCAAAGTTTAAGGAACATATGTGGTGTTACACACCTTCCAGAGTGGAACAAAGTACTACTGAGAATGTGATGGTAGTCAAACCCCACTGAACATGGTCAGAGGACAAGTCTAGGCATAGGGAAGAATAGGATCTACATTTAGATCCAAAAGCGTCACTTGGATGCCTTTAAGCAAAATCCAGTTACATACAAAATGTTCACAACCTTTAAATAAAATAAATACCTTCCTCCCCAGTCACCCACTGAAGTCAGCAAAGGCAGGACTTCTGACTTGAAAGACACGGATTTTTGGGAGAATCATGTAAATGGATGGGGCCTCTTCAACACATCCATTTTGAACTAAAACATCACTCAAACAGCATCATCAGTGCTCTTTACTCCTGTTTGCAGGTACTATGGTTCTCTACATACACACAATTCCCAAGATTGGGGTAATTAAGTCTTTGGGAGCACTACAGGTAACAGCTCAAATAACTAATAGATATGCTACAGTGTCAGAACCTGGGTCTGCGTGTCTACTCACCTTTAATGGGTTGATCCTGGAGTCCATTCTGCCCGCCTCTATTTCAGCAATTTCCTGCCGAATGCTGATCATTGCGTCACAAAATCTGTCCAGCTCTGCCTTGTCTTCAGACTCTGTTGGCTCAATCATAAGTGTCCCTGCTACTGGCCAGGACATTGTTGGAGCATGGAATCCTGAATAAGAGGAATCCCATCACTGATTACACATGGTTTATGAGCCAGTAAGGAAGATTAGCCAGCAACTACTAGGCTTGTTTTTCCTAAAAAGCTGACAATGCAAGTTCTCAGCATCTTCCCATAAACCTCACTTGTGACCTTCACGTGGCTAAGAATGGACAGTGTACCCGAGAGGTAGCTGATAGAAGTTTAATTCAAACACTGTTCTTCCACCCCCCACAGGAGTGATTCCATGATACTGTTTGTAGCAGGTAAAGCCAGAAATATTTTGGCTGCAGGGGGATTATTAAAGAAAAAAAACAAACAAAAAAACTACATATACACCCACCCCTCCACCCTTTTACTTCCTCTGGAGCCTGGTGCCCTAAGGAAATAGCTTCTTACCAAAAACAATACTCCTGGCCTCTTCCTTTCACACACACATCTACATCAATCACTTTCACATTCTTGTAACCCTTAAAGGCTCAAACTGGCACAAAGTAAACTGGGAATAGGCAGACTTGGGGCAACCAGGAAAGAGGAGACAAGACAGTTTATCCCTCTTA